TCGTGGGAACATTCAAGGAAAATATGTAATAGGTTACCTTCTTTTCCGCACTTGCAATTAGGTGACTCCGCGAGACCCAACTTGTACATATGAAGGGGGGTAAGAGCATGATTAGATCTTAATCTGTTTATAACCCTTATGAAATGGCGATTGGATAGAGTATGAAACCATCTTTTTATGAGTATTTCAGGCTGCATTTGTTTGTAATTATTTCCAGTTCTCGTGTTTCGATAATATGTTTGCCATTTTTCTTTTTGATGCCATTTACTAATTATATCAATGTCTGAAAAGGGGAGTAAGTTCAAGGGAGCTTCTCCGCCTATGTCTAGGGCAGATTTGGCTAGGCTATCTCCTATTTCATTGCCCTTAATGCCCGCGTGTCCCTTTATCCATGATATAATAATGTTTTTCCCTAAATTTGTAATTTTATTGTAAATAGTCATAATTTCTAGTTCTATATGATTTAGTTGTTTGGACCTATGTACGTTTGTTAGTCTGTCGACGACACTCTTACTGTCTGTAAATATTATGCAGCTGTAGGGTTCGTTACTATGTATATGCCTTAATGCAAGAAGAATCGCTGTCATTTCAGCAGTGTATATCGATGATTCAGCTGGTAATTTCAATATTTTTTTAAATCCACTTTGAATATTAATTAATGCACATCCTACTTTGTTTTGTACTTTAGATTCGTCTGTAAAGTAAAACTGATAATTTGGCCATTTATGCCGTGTAAATGATTGGAAAAGCGACTGGATCTAAATAACTTTCCATAAAAAAGGTATTAATATGTTTTGAGAAAGCTCTTCTAATATATGGGAATACATAGGTGAAACTTGATTTTCATACGTATAGAAAGTATGTCGGTATTTTGTTTTCTTTGTCCAATATTTATGAGTTAGATCTAAAATTGATAAAATATGAATATCCTGTAGATAGTTAGTATTTTTCCCTATGACTCTAGTAATGAATTTATCACTTAAAACCTCCCGTCGAAATTTGAGAGGTGGTTCTATCGCCTCAACTTCCATTATATTAACAGGTGTAGAATTCAAATATCCAAGACAAAGCCGAAGGCATTTATTTTTTTGTATTTCTAATTTATTTAAATGTGTGTTTGCGGCAGTTCCATACAAATGACAACTGTAATCATAGTACGGTAAAATAAAAGTGCTATATTTGCATCCTGACGTATGACATCCAGTATGACGTTTTTAGGTTATGAGGCCAAGAAATACATCGTCTCGGGCATCTACCAATCAATTTTCCGTCAATAACCAATTGAAGTAAACCATATGTATTATTATTTCTCATAATATATACAAGGTATTCGAATTTCCGTTTTTTGTAATTGTAATAAGTACTTCACGACCTTTTTCTTGTCTGCGAAGATTCACAGTATTCGTGGATAGTACCATGTCTCAAAAGCTTGAATCATCTTCATAGATGCCCTGTAAGAGTCCAATCTTTCGCATCGCAAAATAAAATAAATTCAAACTATATTATAATTGACGTATTAATCAATGTTTAAATAACGATCCCGTAAAATTAAACCTATACTTTCATGAAAAAATCATTTCTTCTCACCTAGACTTTGATATGGAAAAAGTCCCAATTTGGAATCTATATACAAAATGCTTTTCGTGTATTAACATTTTATTTTACTTATCCATTCTTTGCAGACGTGTATTTGATCCAAAATATGAAACAGAATATGAAGAGGAAGAAGAAGTAAAGGAAAATGTCGATCAAGAACGAATAGAGGAAAGACCGCCTAACGAAAAAGAAATAAAAGAAATAATAGAGAAACTAAAGAATAATAAGAGCCCAGGAAGAGATGAAGTAACAGCTGAAATGTTTAAATATGGAGGACCAGTACTAATTAAGCATTTGGAAAAGTTGCTAACAGACATATGGGAACAAGAAAAATTACCGAAGGAATGGACCGAAGCGACACTGCGCCCTTTTCACAAAAAGGCGACAAAAGTTTATGCCACAATTACAGGGGAATAGCCCTACTAAATGTTGCTTATAAAATACTTGCAGTATATATAAAAGATAAGCTATCTCAAAATATAGATAATGACATAGGTCACATAGGGGAATATCAATGTGGATTCAGAAGAGGGCGCAGCACAGTGGATACAATTTTCCTACTGCGCGAAATACAAGCAGAAAGCTACGAATATGGGAAACCTACAATGGCCCTATTCATCGACTTTAAACAAGCGTTCAATAGGATAAAACTCAAAAGAAATATACAAAGCACTACGTGAAATGAGAATTAGTGAAAAACTGATAAGAATGGTAAAAGTGACACTACGAAGAACAGAGAATAGGGTTAAAATATATGGCGAAGAAACAGATAAGTTTGAGGTCAGTGAGGGGGTGCGACAAGGAGACCCACTGTCATCGCTGTTGTTCAGTATCGTCCTCGAAGTTACCATCAGAGAAGCTGGAATCAACAGGTCAGGACTTATATAAAAGAAAACACCAATGCTTAGCATTCGCTGACGACATTGTACTGATAGCCAGAAGTAAGCAAGAATTAAAAGAAATAACAAAAAGATTAGAAATGAAAGCGAGAAAGAAAGGGATGTACATAAATGAAGAAAAGACCGAATATATGGAATGGACAGAGAGAATACCTACAAGAACAATATCTGACAGTAATAACAAATGAAAAAACATATCAATTCGAAGAAGTAGAAATATTCCAGTATTTAGGAGCGACATTCACGAGAAGACCAAATATGAAGGAAGAAATCCAAGCGAGAATTATGGCCGGTAACCATTGTAGTTTTGACACTAAACAAATTCTAGTTAAGATACATAGCAGTATAAGACCTATTGTATTATATGCCAGTGAAACATGGACAATGAACAAATCCGAGCAAGTCCTGCTGCAAGTCTGGGAAAGAAAAGTCTCAGGAAAATATTTGGAGTAAATTATGTAATGGTATATGAATTAGACTAAAATAAAGACCAAATATGGAATTAGAGAGAGAACCGAATATCGTAGGGATCATAAAGTCACAAGAGACTGAGATGGTTGGGACACATCCAAAGGATGGGAAACACGAGACTGCCAAAAAGAATGCTAATGGGAGGAATAGGAGGGAAAAGGAAGAAAGGCAGACCGAAAACCTGGTGGAAGAAGGATGTTGAAAAAGACATAGAAAAACTTAAAATACCAAACTGGAAAAATAAAGCAACAAACAGAAAAGAATGGAAAATAATAGTAAACCAAGCCATGGGCCTTCTAGGCTGGAGGGCTAAATTATATATATTTGATCCTGAGCCTTTTGTTTCGTACGCGCCTAGGATGGAGATGTATATAGTCAAATGCACATTGATGTTCTTCTTCTTCCTCTTTATAAGCAATTCTGGTTGTTCATTGGCGGATTATGACCCCATTCTGTTTATGTGGTTATTCCATTCTTTTTTTCTATTTTGTATCCATTCATTTATACACTGTATTTATATATTTTGATCTCTCAGCGTATTTCCTGTAATTCTTCTCAGTATTCTCATCTCTGCCGTTTCCAGTAGCCTTTGTGTTGTGGCTGTGTCGGGTTTTGTTTCTGAGACATATGTCATTATTGGTCTTACACTGGCTTTATAAATTCTTGAATTCATCGCAGTGATAATGTGTCTGTTTCGCCATATACTGCTACTGCGGCATCCTGCCAGTCTATTTGCTTTTTGTACTTGATCTCTCACTTCTTTGTCCAGGTCTCCATAGCTAGACCGTGTAATTCCCAGGATTTTATTTCCATTACTGTTCAATACTGCTGCATCAATTTCTATTTTACATCTGGTTGGTTTTTTGCTTACTACTATTGTTTCAGTTTTCTGAGATGAGATTGTCATATTAAATTATTTTGCTCTTATGTTAAATCTGTGGACCAGTCTTTGCAGACTATTTTCATCTGTGGCTATCAATACTGCGTCGTCTACGTAACATAGTATTTTTATTTCTTTGTTTCCCATTCTGTATCCTCTTCCTTTGTTAACGTTTTTGATGATTTCATCCATGATCAAATTGAAGAGCATGGGACTCAATCCCCTTGTCTTATTCCGCTGTCTATTTCTATAGGTTATGTAAGTTGTCCATCTATTCTGACTTCCATTTTGTTGTTTTCGTAGATCTTTTCGATAGTTTTTTTAATATTTAGGGAAACTTCTCTATTATAATAGAATTAGAATATCTCTCATATTCATACTGATGTACTATAGTCTATATAGCCATTGCCCGCTATATCCTTAATAATTTAGCAGCTTCAAACATAGCAGTTACGTTCCACGTAGCAATCTTGTGGATTTTTACGACAAGAGACTTTCATGGGAGGCCTATGGCTTGTGTGTGATTTCCCTCTGTTATCAGATCTTTAATTCCGAAGTCCACGATCATTAGTTTTGCGTATAGTGTCGTTGTTTCCCATGGAAAGCTGTACTAGAGATATTTACAAAGACTTTTGTTTGGCGCAATGCTTTATTGTGGGCTTCTTTCTTTATTAACTTTTCTTGTTTATCCGCTATTCTTTCACGTCATGTTATTACCTATGGACGAGGCTTTGGAAAATAGAAATTGTGAATTTTCTGATTTTTCAGAAAAAAAAAAATTTCTAGACTGAGGTACCTATAAATTGTTAATCAGAATTATAATTTTAATTTATATTTTTTGCTTCCGTTTGTTCGTTATTTAGTTGATAAAGAACGTTATTTGATTTAATAAAAAGTATTTGCCACTTGTCGTTTCATATCGATATCGATCACATTTCCTTTTACGATATTTTTAACAATAAAACCATTTTGCAGCCGAACCTAACACTATTAACCTTGTAAAAATAAAATTTACCAGTTATCTACTACATAATAAAGATCAAAAATCCTATTTACATTTAATATTGGTCAAACTAGTAAAGCCTATCGTTTTATTACCAGCTGTTGTTATGGTTATTTTCTTTAAAAAAGTTAGTTTTATCGATTCTACTTACCGTCTGATAAAACTTCGTATGCCTCTGATATTTCTTTGAATTTTTTTGTTGCTTCGTCCATGTTGTCCGGGTTTTTGTCGGGATGCCATTTTAATGCCAATTTTCTGTATCTGTAATACAAAAATATAATAGTAGAGTATGTAAATTTTTTAGAAAAAAGCCATTTCTTTGTGTTATAATGATTTCCATACTAATTCGATAAAAATTTACATCCATAAACACACAGACAGCCGTTTTAAAATATCAAAAATTTTGATCCTAAAAAACTTTTGTATTTGACTCTGAAGTATTGATAACTTTTTGATCAAACAGAAGGGAAATCATCCCAGATTAATTCATCAGTTCCGAACACGGCTGAATTTATAAAAAATATATTATACGAGGAAAAACAAAATTAGCTTGTTTATCATCTACGTTCACTCTAGCGAAACAGAGTTTTTAAATTTCAGTAAAAACTATCCTATATGCAAAATGGTTCTTTGTATACGCTATTTTTTTACTCATTTTGAAGTCTCGATTCATGCCAATTGCTTCATTTTATTTATTGTTTGACAGATGACTTTAGTCATAACGTCAGTTTTAATAACATTTTTATTCATTCTCAGAATGGTTTTGAATAATGAAAGCTTTGTTAAAGTCGTAGTTCTTTTAGAAGAGGGACGAACTTATTAAACGTGTTGGGAAAATTAAATGTCAGTATTTCTACTACGAGGTTTGTCTTTTTAGTTTTGAGTATAGTCTGTTAGAGGGCGCCACCAGTAAAACCTTCTGACGCAAATGTAACCTCAATCTTTTGTTTGTTAACATAAATCGACAGTTTCTTTGCGATATAAAAAGTCGTGTAGATACTGTGAATTTTTGAAATTAGCAATGCCGAAAAATGGATCCTAGCCGAAAATATTTTCGAGCTTTTTTACAATCTCGATTTTTACAATTTTTGGAAAGGATTATCTGAACAGCATTGTGTCGCTGAAATGGTTTCTGCGTTTGAGAATGAAGCATCACACCAGTTAACTATTTCCTGTCGGTATTGCGAATTTCAATGTGGTCGCTCCAGTGTCAACGACGAATCCAGGCCAGGTCCACCCAAAACAGCAGTCAAGCACTGGAACTCATTTGCTCACAGAAGAGTAAAAAGCGGTTCTCGTCAATTGGTGTCGAAAAACATTGGAACGGTTCAACAAAGGAAGCTCAAAAAACATGTATAGTATTTTTAATGGCGATGAGTCTTAGATTGATTCCTACGAACCGGAAAATAAACCGTAATCCGCTGTGTGGTTGTTTCACGATGAGGAAAAACCAACAAAAGTGATCCGTTCTCGAAGTGTGTCAAAGAAAATGGTCACAACTTTTGTGTCACAATCTGGTTATGTGGCCAACAATTGCTTTAGAAGATCAACGAACGGTTACTTCTGATTGGTATATGTCTAAAACCTTTTGTTTACCAGAAGTTATCTCGAAACTCTACATTCGCTACAAGGCAACACACAACGGCGAATTATCCTACTTCAGGACAATGCCAATGCTCAGACTGCCCAAAAGATAATAAGAGTTTTTGGAGCTTCAAAACATCGAATTGTTAAACCATCCACTGTATCGCCCCGACTTAAGTTCCAACGACTTCTTCACATTCCCAAAGATCAAGAATTCAATGCGTGGGCAGCGATTCCATTAGCCTGATAAAACAGGCAGCGGTTATCTAGGACATCGTATAGAAAAACAAAATGATGAATAGACAGTCTATCCCAAAAGTATCCGATCTTCATTAGTAATCTCGGACCAAATTTTCCAGAACTCTCTAGGGGCATGAGCATAATCAGTAACAATTAACGAATTTGCTGTATACCTTAAACTCTTAAAAAGTTATATGGAAACTATTCAAATGAACAAGAAGCTATTCGGAGATGTATGTACGTCTAAAATAGAGATAAAAAATAGTTCAATTGGTTTAAAAATGGCCTCATGTCTGTTGACAGTGACTCGCGTTCTTGTCGACCTTCCATCACAATATCAATAAATATGGAATGGATTGAAGAAGATGGTTGTTTGACTAAAAAACAATCTTGAATTTCGAAAACTTGTGTTTCAAGAATTCTAAACGTGTCTTTCAAGGCAAACAGAAGATTCGCCTAGAAGTTTTAATAAAAATTACCGGTAACGACCATTGGGTTAACAATTATAATGCCGAAACAAAACAGCAGCGTCCACAACGGACGTTTTCATAGGTACCATTTTTTTAATATGAAGTACATTATGAATACACTCCAAGGATCGACTTTTCAACAACTCGATGAAGAAATTTTCAAGTGGTTTCTGCAGAAAAGATATAAGTCAAGTGGAGATTTTTCAGTAACACTTGAAAATCAAAGATTTTTTTAATGCATCCAGTGGTTGGTTTTATCATTAAAAAATCGTCACGAAAATCGTGAGTTTGTCATTCAAGGTGAAAAGTTCAGTATTGATGGAGAAAGCAATGGTGGAATTTTGCTACGAACTGGAGACCCTAATTATAGAAAATAAATTACAACTTTCTCAAATTTATAACACTAATGAAACATGGTTATACTGGCAAGCAATACCTTAGCTGCAAGTAATGTGTGTTGTGGCAATGCGTCTGGCAGCCATAGACTGGAAGTCAAAAAAATCCTTCCACTTTTAAAGACCTGCAACTGAAAACCTGAAACTTGAAAAACAAGTGGATAACTTATGACATCTTCCAAGATTGGTGTTGTTTTATTTGAAGAAGGAAAAGTTACCACAAAAGATACTTCTTCTGGATACTGCTGGTGCTCATCCCAATGAGGCAGTGCTAAGATCTGACGCTGGAATTTTTTTCCAGTTAAAATTACATTAATTGCTTAAGCCATGGATCAGGGTGTTATTGAGAGAATGAAACGCATCTACCAAAGACATGAAGTGTTCACCAAAGATTAAATTTTTACAGTCACAAATGCACGTAATGGAATGAAAGAGAGAAGACCTTCAAAAGAGCTTTTTATCAAATAGTGACGCTAAAAGAAGATGAAAGCATCATGGAGTATGATGATAAAGAAACTATCATAGCTGAAGTAACTACATTAGTGCGCAACACCGACAACTTTAAAGAAATTGATGAAACCGAGGTTGAGACTTAGACCCAATGTGGCAAAGATGAACTAGCTTATCAGCTCCTCAGCAACGACGATATTGTCAAACTAGTTTTGAATAAGCCCGGTACGTCACAACCTAATTCATACATAAATGAGCGTCAAGAGTAACTAACAAGAAGGCTCCGGGAACTGTCAAATTTCTACTAAAAAATGTATAAAGACTCACGGAGGAGACCAGCAGACAGACCATCAAAACGATGATACGAGGTTTAGAGTTCAGCTTCTCACAGAAAAAACTGTGAAGAAGGCTAAACATAACGGAAGAAATTTAAAGAGTTCTAGTCGTATTAAAGAAAAATAAGAAGAACTGATATCTTTACTTGACGAAAATAAGAAAGTGGAAAAATAAATTTCTCTTAATTTAAATATAACTAATTTCAGGTTCTCAAGGAAACAATATAACAGCAAAATAAGTATTATTTAATTTTGGGTTCTTAATTAGAATTAGCAGCTTTAGTTAGTTTTATTTTTATTCCTAAGATACATAGCTACACAGGAAACACAGTTATAAGCATGCAACAGAGACTTACGTCCAGCACTGGTTAAATTTATAAGCTGAACGATGATGATAAATTATACAGTAATACTTACGCCTTTTAATTTCTGATGTAGTAGCGGTTTTTGGCACCTCCAGGACTCTGTAGTAGTCCACCATGTTGGTGCCACAAGTGTCTTTATGCCCCAGTTTTTAAAACACGCCTGGAAACAAAAATGTCAATGTCAAAAACAAAACAAAAACGAAAATTTTAACGTAGTACATATGCTTGATGTTGTTTTTAAACGTTTATTAAATTTACTGAAGTTTCCAAAAACTAATTACGTACTTATAAATTAATCAAAAGAATTAAATAAAAACTAATGATGTTGGAAGCTATAAAAAGAAACTCTGTATGTTTGCAATTTTTTAAAATAAATTACAGTATAAACAAAACACTCACAAAAGATACGCATTCATTTCAACTCAACAAATTTGAACAATAATAAATTGATACACTAAACTTTTATAAAATATGCAAAACAGGTTCAGCCGGAAAAATCACAACTCACAAGTGACATAAAAAGACGTTTATTACTAAAATCATTGCCTTATTTTAATATTTATCGATTTCGAAACAAATTTTGACAGAGTAAACTTGGTATACCTCTACACACAACCGTTTCATGTTTATTTCCATGGATGTATCTGCCTGACGCAAGTTCAGAATGCAGGGCTATCAACAAAGATAAAAACTACCTAATCACCCATATCAATAAGATAAATAATAAAACATGGTTATTTTGAATATGATAAAAATTTTCATTTGCAATGTGGCGAAATATTTCGATTCATTGCACTTTATACTATACATGTTTTTTAATGCGTTTTGTCATTCGATAAGAGATGAAATTTGAAGGTTGTCGCGTCACTTTATTTTGCTACATCTGTCAAATTGTCTGACATTTATTCAGTCGGTTTTGTCCATGGACGTACGTCCATGGTTTTGTCCAATCACCATGGATGGGCACAGCGTAAAAAACACATATAAATGATAAAACTGTTTATGAAAATGAAAATGGATTGTTGACTGATCCACAATCAACACTCATACGACAACGAAACGCAAGATCTGCCGAAAACATCGCCGCTGCCCGTAATATTGTACCGGGTGGTCCAATAAGCCGATCTCTCGGCTATTATATCAGAAACTATTCATGTTATAACTTTAGAAAAAAAAATTCCTTAGTAAAAGTGGCCAAGAGAAATCGCTGAAAATAAACTTTCAAGATTCTGGATTAACCGCTAGGGGGCGTAACCTGCGAAGAAAATTTTGAAAACCAGTTTTTTGGGAAATATGTCCAATTGATACCAAGTGTTAAATAAGTAAACTAAAAAGAGGCATAAATTCTGCACAAAGTTGTTCAAGTACTTTTTTTTTATTTTTTCAAATAAAGGGTGGGGGAGAGTGGGAAAGTATTTGTGGATAAATACCTATAACTTTGGTATGGATCAACCGATTTTAACAAAATTAGTGTCATTAGAAAGAGTATGGATGAATCAATTTACATCTACTATAAAATAATTACATTTAGTTTTAATTATCGTAGGTAGAGGGTACTTTCGAATAGAAAAAATTAAAATTTGTTTTTCTTCAAAATTTTTAATGGAAACTCCTATTTATTGTAAATTATAATGGAACTGGATTAAATTCGTAACAAAATGGCGCAAACCGCATGTTAATAGCTTTTATCGAACTCGAGATATGAATAAAAACGCATAAACATAAGTAAGTATAGTATTGACACACCCTGTATTATAAAATAAATTAAAAAATAAGTCAGTAGGTACTTTCAAAATTTTTTATAGCAGAAAACTCTTAATGTTGATACCTATTTTGACCATTGTTATTTCATATGATTAAAAATTGTTTTTTCGAAACTAAGTAGGCTACGACAATGAATTTGACAGGAGTTCATATTGTTTATTTATTGACAGCAGTCAAAATATTGTTAAGAAGTGTTATATGTATTATACTTCGAATTGAAAATTGCATTTTTTTCAATAGATATTAATATTGGTAATATAAGTAATTAATTATCAGTACTAATAATTCGTGATGAGTAAATCAAATTGTATGATATGATTGGAGTTTATTTCGAATATCACCAAAATGGCGCTATTGCCTCACGTATATATTCTGTAAGATATCCTGGCAGGAGATATTGTGGCAAAGAAGTAGATATTTCGGACTACTTATATGTGGATTCTGTTGAATTAAAGCAAGAACATTGATTGAATTATCTTCGGTCATAACTCTACTACGTCGTTTAAAACAAGGACGAGAAAAACTGCTAGTTTTTCTTAATCTTTTTGCCTTTCTTTCAAATACTTCTTTGCCATCATGTCTCCTGTCACGATATCTTACAAAATATATACGTGAGGCAATAGCGCCATTTGGTGACATTCGAAATAAACTCCAATCATATCATACAATTTGATATACTCATCACGAATTATTTGTACTGATAATTAATTAATAATATTACCAATATTAATATCTATTGAAAAGAGTGCAATCTTTAATTCGAATTATAATATAGCACTGCTTAACAATGTTTTGACTGCTGTCAATAAATAAACAATATGAACTCTCCGTCAAATTCATTGTCGTAGCCTACCTAGTTTCAAAAAAACTATTTTTTTACAAAATAGGTATCAACATTAAGATTCTTCTGCTATAAAAAAATTGAAAATACCTACTGACTTATTTTTTAATGTAATTTATAATACAGGGTGTGTCAATACTATACTTACTTATGTTTATGAGTTTTTATTCATATCTCGAGTTCAACAAAAGCTATTAACATGCGGTTTGCTCCATTTTATTACGAATTTATTCCAGTTCCATTATAATTTACAATAAATAGGTGTTTCCATTAAAAATTTTGAAGAAAAACAAATTTTAATTTTTTTTATTTGAAAGTCCCCTCTACCTACGACTATGAAAACTAAATGCAAGTATTTTATAGTAGATGTGAATTAATTCATCCACACTCTTTCTAATGACACTAATTTCATTAAAATCGGTTGGACCAAACCAAAGTTATAGGTATTTATCCACAAATACTTTCCCACTCTCCCCCACCCTTTATTTAAAAAAATAAAAAAAAGTACTTGAACAACTTTGTGCAGAATTTATGCCCCTTTCTAGTTTACTTATTTAACACTTGGTATAATTGGACATATTTCCCAAAAAACTGGTTTTCAAAATTTTCTTCGCAGGTTACGCCCCCTAGCGGTTAATCCAGAATCTTGAAAGTTATTTCCAGCGATTTCTCTTGGCCACTTTTACTAAGGAATTTTTTCTCCTAAAGTTATAACATGAATAGTTTCTGATATATAGCCGAGAGATCGGCTTATTGGACCACCCGGTACAGGAGAATCCGGGACAGTCAATTTCACGTCGCTCACAAGAACTCGGCCTTTCACAGACCACCACTTGGCGAATTTTGCGTCGTGACTTGGATCAGCACCCGTACAAAATTCAACTAACTCAGGAGCTGAAGGTAAACGACCACAAGCAACGACGAGTGAATGGGCTATGGAACAATTAAAACTGATCCTAATTTTCATTAAATTATCTTCAGCGATAAGGCCCATTTTGGATCAATAGGTACACCAACAAACAGAATTGTCGATTTGAGACGATACCAAACCAGATGAGATCCAAGAGCGTCCAATTTATTCCGAAAATATCACTGTTTGGTGAGGCTTTTGAGCTGGCGATCGGTTGGCATCGGTCCATCACCGTCAACGGCAAGCGCTATGGGTCGATGTCCACCAAATTGTTTTAGCCTGAATTGGATGATATGAACACCAATGATATGTGCTGTCAACAAGCGGCACTACATGCCATACAGCTCATGCCACATTGGACATTCTGCACGAGCGATTTGTGGGTATGGTCATCTCGCGTGGAGGTGATGTGAACTATCCACCAAGAACATGCGATTTGACTCTGTTAGTCTTTCCTTGTATAGACCTAAGTCACAAGTTTACGCGAATAAGCCACAAATCACAGCGGCCTTCACAAGTGATGATAGGCTACCATATGCAATAGCCCCCCAAACCATTACTACAACTGTCTTGTCTACATGCCTCTCGCCAGCAAACCCGATATCTCGTAGCTCCGCACGGCGCGATCTTACCATACTGCGACCATTATGCATTCCTAAACAGAATCGTGATTCATCGCTGAATGCTACATTACGTCATCATTCTGCCACCCAATGCTGCCGTTCTCTGCACCAATTCAAACGTTGATGACACTGGTTCGCAGTCAAAGGAAGCACTAGCTAGTCGGCGGAATGAGACCAGTCCAAAGGCTCGAATGCGACCTTGTCCAGAGCCAGTAATCTAAAACATATATCTTGACGCTCTATGATACGCCTCGGTTGACCAGTTGGTCTTCTTCGTGTTCCTCTACCTTCGTTTGTCCACATACGGCAGACACGCATAACCGTCATTGCCGTACAATTAACACGACGGCCAATTTCGCGATACGACAAACCCATATCTCTATACGCAATAATTCTAACCCTGTTAAAATCGTTAACATGGTGGTAATTTTGGTGTCTTCGAACTCGAGGTATTTTCTTACACTGAATACAATTAGACTAGGAATAATAACTAAAAATTTCGATATGAACCGGTTTTCACAAATCGGTCTCTTCACAAAAAAATTAAGATAAACGTTATTTTCAAAAAGTAAAAGATAAACAGTGGTATGGTTATCTTATATCAAATTATATCAAAAAATATAAAGTAGCAATAATTAAAACAGCAAATGAAAACTTAAAACCAAAGAATAGGAACATAAAGACTGGATGACTGAAGAAATACTACTATTAATGAATGAAAGAAAATCATTCAAAACAAAAAATCCAATTAAATATAATGAAACTGATCGATTAATTAAAAAGAGAATAAAAAAGCTAAGGAGAGAATGTTACATGAGCAGTGCCAAGAACTAGAAGAAATTGAGAAAAAATATGACTTTTTTAACATGCATAAAAGAATTAGAGAATTAACAGAATGAGAAAAACACTACAAACTAGGCAACTAAGAGATGAAAGTGGTGCACTTATAACTGATATAAACCAAAAAATGCAGAGATG